CCTCGCCATCCCTGTACAGCCCAGCACCCGCTGCAACGCTGCCCTTTGCGGGGAGGCAGGGGATCTCTGGCCCTGCCGTCCCGCTTCCCAGCTCCCCACAGGCATCTTCCCTTCCCCAGGAGGGATGCGGGAAGCCGTGCTCCCATCCCATGCTCTCAGCCGGGCACAGCAGAGCAGCAACCTGTGCTCCCAGCAGCCCTGGTGCAGCTCCATGCTGTGGGTGAAGAAGCAGCTTTGCAACGTGTTTTTTAAGCAGACAAAACACAGAGCACACACGGTGATGAATCCCTGCCCCGACAGGGCACGTACATGGCTTCCTTTTGGCTTTGCCCTTTCAGACCCACAGCGAGAGCTGCCGGGCTGGCAGCATCCACAAAAATAGCTGCTGTGGGAAGGGCAGGGAATGCTGCAGGGACATGGCCACAGCTCCTCGGGCTCTGTGCCGGAGGGCTTCCCCAAGCCTCTGCCTGCACAGTGGGAACCTCACCCAGGCTGTACCGGGGACGAGCTTTGCCATCCTCCCCGATCACCCTCTCCCCACAGGTCTGAGCCTGCCACCGGGGCCCAGGGAGCACAGGATGCTGCAGGGAATTGCTTTAATATAAACCATGCATTTATTTGGTGTTGGGGTTTTTTTTCTTTTTTTTTTTAATCGCATAATTACTGCAGACATTTCTGCTCATGTTAGGTTTTATTACATCTTTGTGGTTATTCTACAAGCCCTAAATTTTGGGCCTCAACTGAGTTGGCAAAGTTCTCTGAAAACATCTGTCCCGAGTTACTGCCCCTCCAGCACTCCAGCAGAAAGCTGGCGGCTGAAGATGTTGCAATGCAGAGTTTTATTTGCAACAGAAAAAGTTCTTATTCCTGACCCAAACAGTAGTGTAAATATTTACTGCCTCGATGTCAGCGCTGGCCCCACACCTGTGGGTCTCAAAAGGCACCCAGGCGCTCATCCATTCTCCTCCAGAAAACTGCACGTCTGTCCCCAGGCACATCAGCTCCTCTCAAGCACAGGCCGGTGGCACACAGGAGGCTCAACGCCTGCTCCCTGTCGTGACAAAGAGCCAGCCACAGACCCCCGTGTCGGCGGAGGGACACCCGTTCTCCTGCTGTTTGCAGGTTTTGCCAGCAGCAATGCTAAGGTGATGCTGTCGCTCCCCGAGCGGGGGACAATTAACAACCGGCTACTAATCCCCCTACATTAAAATTCCCAGACCCAACAGGCCGCTTGAATCCAGCAGCTACAAGATGTGCATTTGCTTCCCGAAAGATAAATGCCAGTTGTAAAGGTCCCTTTGCACACCCACCCCCTGCAGTCGTGCTTTAGTGCAACCGGAGCAGCGATGGAGGGCAACTGCATCACCCCGAACACATCTTGGTGGCTTGACCATTGTTCTTGTTTCTCCTACAAACACACCTGGAGAAAGCAGCGAGGCAGCGAGTCCCAAGGACACCCCTAACGTGGCTCACTGAGCCTGCGTGGCCATAACGGGGGGGTCAACAGCACATCCCTCCCACTGCGCAACTGGAGCAGGGACAGCCGAGCCACGGCTCCTGCCTGCAAAGGTGCTGCCAGCCCCGGGCCACGCTGCCTGTGCACCACGAACACCCCCGGGACGGCCGGCAGCACCGCTCAGCACCAGCCCAGCCCCACAGCACGCCTGCCTTTTTACATGCCGTTAGCCCAGGCATTTAATTAACAGCCACCGTCAGCTCACCCCGCTGTCCCAAAGGCACCTTTGCAATAAAAGCAGCTCGCCACCAGGCACCCAGCACCCAAAGCAGCCCCTGCCACGCTGAGACCCCCTCACCCTCCAGCACAGCCCTGCCTGCTACCTCCGAACCTCCCAGGGGACTCGACGCCGGGTGCCGGGCAAGGCAGAGCCAGAGTCCTGAGGAAAAGCAGAAAACAGCCCGGTGGCCACGAGAACATATTTGGGACAGGGGGAATACGTGGCGTGGGGGCACGTGCCCTGCTGCTTCCCCTTCCAGGGGACACGGCGTGGGGCAGGCAGCAAGTGGGCAAATCCCCCCACTGGGTGCAGTGCCGTGGGATGGGGAAAGGCAGACCCTGCTCCTCTTGCCACCACGGCCACGCAGGGCACGCGTCCCCAGGGTGCCGGGGATGGCAGCCAGCCCTGCTGACCTGCTCTCGGGGCCAGGCAGCCTGATTTTAAATACGTGCTGAATTATTCATGGCATGACCGTGGTTCCTGGAGCACAAGGTCCTGGACGCCAGGTCTCTGCCGGGGGTGCGCGTTGACCTCCCCACCCACGGCAGCTCGCCCAGAGGGGTCACTCCTGGGGCAGCACGGGGGAGGCTGGCAGGGCTGTGCCCACCCTGCCTGCCACATCGCCTCCCTGCTGCCCACTGCTACGGCCACCAGATTTCCCTCCTCTTTCAGTTGCTCCTCGCTTCGGGCTGCACTGAAAAACCTGGCCTCGAATCAAGGAAAACTGCAGCCTTTACATAAACAAATGCTGCTCAAAAAAATGCTGCTTCCCTGGGAGCAGCCCGGAGCATCGGCACCAGTTCCTACAGGGGTAGGCTGGGGCCGAGGGTCTGCAGGGGGAAGGGAGCTGCCTTTTCTCCTCCTTCACTGAACGCCTCCAGGGAAGCTACACAAAAGACCCAAGCACTGCCAGCCCAAGCCCAGTTTCTCCCAGTGCCACCCAGCTCAGAGCCTGGTCCCCTCCAAACCTGGTTGGGGACGAGTCTCTGACTGGACCCCAGCTGCCACAGCCCTGCCGCAGGGACAGAAATCTCCCAAACAGCCCCCGCATTCGGGAGCTGCTCACACCACGTGGGCCCAGCGCCAGCGATCTGCAGGATTCGGCTCAGGCTAGAGCTGCCCCAGGCAGGGACACGGCACTGAAGGGCTGAGCACTGCAGGAACCGGGGTTCACCATTGCTCCCCTGGCCTCTAGCCATTTTGGACCTAGGCAGAGAGCCACCATCACCCAGACCAAGAGCCTGGAGAAGCTCTTACCACCTTGAAGCAAGCGGGACAGCAAGGCATGGGAGCAGGACGCAGGTCCTGCTGCTCCGGCCACCCCTGACCTCGTACCACGGTCACTCATGGTCCCAGCACGGAGAAGTGACCTTGGCCAGGAAAGCCTGAAGAGCTGGGCGCTGCAAAGCTCAGCAGAAGCAAACCAGCCGCTGACCCAAGGCTCTGCAGATACCCAACACGCTCAGCACTGCCCAGCTCAGCAGCCCCTGTCCCCAACCCCACACGATGGGCATCACCCCCAGAGTCAATTCCCTTCATCCAGCTCAGGTTCTGCCACACGCCGGCTCTGGCACAGCAAGCACCAAATGCCCCAGCCACGCTGCCCCAGGCGAAGCCACCGGCCAAGCCCCCAGCCCCTCTGAGGGGGAGCGTGGGTGCTTCTCCCCCCTTGCACCCCAGCCCTGCCTGGCTCTCCCCGTCCCACCCTCTCCTTGGAGGAGCCGAAACCCAAAGACCGGAAAGGACCGTCCTGTTCCCCTCGCCTGACTTCCCGTCAGCACACACTGTTGGATTGCACCCAGCAAACGAAACAGAGACAGGATAGGAAATCCCCAGCTTGGAGAGATGCCCCCAGCCATGCCCCCCCACCCCAGAACAGCTCCTCTCCCACCAACCACCCCAGGGGTGACGAGCTCCCCACTGCACCTACCCCCATGGGAAATGCATCCATCATCATCACACAGACCTTCAAACAGCTTCAAAACATGCAATAAGTTAAAAAAAAAAATACTGCCTCCTATCCTGCCCCTGCCAGCCCCAGGGAAGGGGGATCCTCCTCTGCAAGATGCCAAAGCGCTCCAGAGGGAAGGATCGGAGGCGAGACCCCCTCCTTACCGCTGGAGATGCACATGCCTCCTGCCTCGTACCACCACCACCCCTTACCTGCGCGGGGGAATTTCTTCAGCTGTTTCCCCACGGGGGCTCCCGAGGACACAAAGCTTTCTTGATTTTCCCACCCATGTCCTCCTGGCAGCCCCACGACCACTTCTGGGCCAGCATCCAGCCACCACCCCACCTCTGAGGGGGCAGAGGCTGACCAGGAGCCCTTGCAAGCTCCCTGGGGAGGAGGAGGAGGAGGAAGAAGAGTGCACCCACGGCACCTCCGCACTCGAGGAGGTGGCTGAGCACCACTGCTCCCTGCCTGGCAGCACAGACCAGCAAGCATGGGGGGGGCTGCAGAGCAGGGACGTGGAAGGGAAGGGGACAGGCAGCTGCAGAGAGGTGACAGAGTCACCGGCTCGGCCACACGACATCCACACTGTTCCTGCCACGTTCACACCCTGAGCAAGGGCAGCGCCGGGACTGAACCCCGCTATCTGCCGAGAGCAAGGCTGCGCCGTCTCCGCCAGCCCGGCCCCAGCAGCAAGGCAGCCATGGAAATTGGACGTTTTCCACCCCAAATTCTTTCCTTTTTGGAAAGGAGTTTACCAATAAAAGGCACTTACTGCAGAATCACAGTCCAGACCCAGGCCACTTGAAAAAGAGCTAATTTCCTTCCTATTTAAGCAAAAAGCTGAGAACACATTTGCCCCAGATGTTCCCTCCCTCCTGCAAATAATGGAGGGGAGAGAAGCTCATTCACGAGCTCCAGCTTCGCCGCGTCCCTAGTCTGTGCAGCCTGTCCCCACGGGTGAGTGAGAGCCAGGCTGGGATGCCAACCTCAGCCGAGGCACCATGGGGGTCACTCGTCCCCAGGGCTGATGACTCGCCCCCCCGAACCCCCTCTGTGCCAGCCCCCGGGGCTCAGGAGACCCTCGAGGGGCACAGGAGGGGAGAGCAGCAGTGCAGCCCCCAGCAGCCGATGCTGCTTCGAGCAAGAGCGAATGAGGCCGAGGGGCAGCTGGCCCTCTGCTTTGGGACACAGTGGGGTCCCCAAAGCGGACAGCCACGTGCAGAAGGTTTTTCTCCAATGGGAAGCAAGCCAGGCTTGCAGAGGGAGGTGCTCCCAGCGCGGCTGCACCCACTCCCCGGCTCTGCACTCACCTTCCTGCTGCCGTGCGAGGAGAAGCTGTGCGAATGCCGCTGGAGGCTGCCCCCACTCAGATCCAGCTGCGGCTTCCAGACCTCCCCGTTGTCGCTGCCCACCGACTTGGTGGGCGAGACGCCGGAGTTCAGCAGGATCCCACCGTGCACCATCTCCTCCGTGCACGTCAGGCGCAGGCTGCACAGGTACTCGTCCGTCTCCTTGTCCACCACAAGCAAGCGGGTCTCCGTCTCCACGGCTTTGATGCGCTGCACAACCTAGAAAGGAGGAAAACAACTGAGCAGAAACCCAGGCACCTCCTGGTTGTGGCAGGAGCTGGACCCAAGGACCATCAACTCCCCAACACTCTCCCGCAGCTTCGGACTTGCTGCAGGGTGCAAGTTTTGCTGTCACTTCCAGCTATCGGTGATGGGGGAGAAGGGCAGAGCGTGGCTTTGGGGGACCCCCAGGATGAAGCATCTGTTGCCTGCAGCCTCAGGTGATGATGGTGATGGCTCTTTCCACCCCATGCCCTGCAACCGACCTGACCGCTCTGCCCAGGGCCACTGCACAGACCACCCAGGATCACCCACTCTGCTCAGACAGGAGCTTTCCCAGAGGCTGCTTCACTGCCCCCGAGCATCAAAAACCCTGCTGCCTGGTTTTGTGCCTTAGAGGGTCAACATAATCTGTCCCACCAAGCAAACCATCTTGCACACCCTCATTTCCTTGACCTGTGGTGACTTTCTCTCCCAATACCCAGGGCAGGGTGGAAATCTGGGGAGCACAGGGAGGCACCAAGCACCCACGCAGGCATTCACTGGCTGGGCTGCCTTTGCTGGGTGCTCCCCACCCTACCGGTGTACAGCTACCCCCCACCCTGGGTGGATTTATGAAGGAAACAACCCAATCCGCACATTCATCCCCAGTCTGTGCTAGGAGCCAGCAGAGATAAGGGAAGCCGGTGTTGGGAGCGGGAGATGGGCCGGTCTCTCCTGGGATCCAGCTCCAGGCAGTGCTGAATGGGGACCATTGTCCTGCTCCTGCCCGGCTCCTTCGCAGGGATCGGTGACTGGCAGAGGCTCTGAAAAGAGCTCGCCGTGTCGGCGCGGTGGGGAGAGCCGGGAGGACCCGATCCCAGCCACGGCCAGGCAGGCGGGTAAATCACACCAGGGCAGGCTGTGATGGAAACGGGGCAAATCCAGGACATGCACAGGAGCGGGATAAAGGGAAACTGCCTCCAGAATCCCTGCCAGCAGCCACAGAGCGCTGGCTCTGCTGGGCCACCTCCTCCCTGCACAGGCCTTCATCCCAAGGAGGAAGAGGAGGAGGGGTGGTATCACTGGCAATGCTGCTCAGCAGCCATCCCCAGCCATGAGGTGGCCCTGAAGACCACAGACCCATGACCCCCCCCCAGGGTGTGCCGGGAAACCCCCAAAGCAGCACTGGGCTTCCTTACAGAGCTCCTGCTCTGATCTAGGTCACACCGGCCAGACACACTGCAACCACCAAGGTTGTAAGTGACAAACGAGCCTAATGCGCAATTAGCTAGCATTTATTTACTTCCCTGCAAGCTCCATTCAAGGTCAACAGAGCCAGTATCTGCAAACGAAAAAAACAACCAGCAAGAAATTTATAGACTGCAGACAAGGTGGCTTGTCCTGAACCAACTAATCTGCTGCAGGGTTCGTCTCCACGTGCCGCGTCGGGCAGCAGCGTGCCCAGGGCTCCCATCCATAACCGGCCTGAAGGATGCTATTCCATCAAGCCCCAGAAAATCCATCTGCTCCCTTTCAGATCTATTTACATGCGACATCAGACAGCGCTGCCGATACTGGCAAGGGAGTGCCTGTGTGAGGCCACTTCTCCCCAAAGGGACCTGGGAGCAGGCAGCCGACGTGCAGTGGTTGCAGGAGATGCAGACGAGCAATACCTGCGGGGAGCATGCAGGAGAAGCATGCTGGGTCCCAAACAGCGACATTCCCCCAGACCCTGCAATTTGGGTGCCCCAGGCATTAGGGCAGCACAGTTAATCACTGGCAGGGAGGAGGGTCACGCAGACCACAACAAAACATAGAGGGACCACCGAAGCACCCTGACCTGCTGCGGTGCTGCAGGGCAGGATGGGTGAGCTGCCCTCCCAACTGGCAGGGAACGGTGCTGGGGCTCAGCCCGCTGCCAAGCTCCCCAACAGCCACGGCAAGAGCAACGATGGAGCAAGCGTCCCCTCAGCCCCACATGCCCCAGAGCGCCAGGGGCTGAGCCAGGCAGGGATGGAGAGCGGGCACAGAGCAGCCCCTCGCCCTCTCCCCGATAGCAGGGACGAGCAGAAGGGGCATTCCATGACAAGCTCCCCAAGCAGCAAGTCGGTTTGGGGACAGAGCAGCGAGGTGGAAGGCAAAGCAGCAGCCAGGCACACGGCGAGGTCCTACCCGACACGGGCAGAGCCTGGCACCCTACCCGTTTCCGAGCCATGGTCACAGGCTTGAGTCTGCAGCTTTTCTGAAGACGACACAGCCTCGCCTGCGCATCTGGCGCCTGGGGACCTTCTCAGCACCGGTCCCAGCCGCATGATTTCCGCAGCTCCACCCAAAAAGACCTTCACCCCTGGCTACACCAGCACCAGCCCAGCAGAGCCGGCCCGGACCCTTCCACCCTTGCCAAACACCAGCTGCCCAACAGGGAGACTCATGGTGTCACCAGGAACAGCTCAGTTCATCCCTCCTGCTCCAAAAGGGACACCTCTGCCTGTGCACTGCGCTGCCAGCCTCAGCAAGGACCTGGAGAGGCTTTCCTCGCTGCGCTGCCCAGCCAGGCAAGGAACCGAGGAGCCAGGATGCAATTTTGCATCCAAGACATGAAACGCCCTGAGAACACGTTCTGCCTTCACTCTTTGGGTAAGGCCAGGAAAAAACAGAGAACAAAGACACAAATGCCGCCAGCTTCAGCTCGAAACACAGTTACACCCAAACAGCAAGGCCTTGTTTGCTGCGGGCTCTGTCCCACCACAGCTTCAGATGCACAAGGAGAAGTGTTACTTATTCAAGGTCGGGGACCTCAGCAGCACAAGGAGGAGAGGCCACAAACTGGCTGCTTTAACGCATTGGCAGGAGCCAGCATCTGACTCGCCATGGCATCGCCCTTCCCACAGTCCATCAGTGCTGGGGTGGTTTTTTTTGGGGTGGGGGGAAGGTTCTTGCTGTATGGAGGCAGGAGAAAGGGCAATCCCAGAGCATGTCCTGGGGCAGGGCTGCTCCTGCTCCCACCACTCATGCCATCACAGCAGGAACGCAGCACAGCGGTGAGCTCCACGACACCCCGGACGGGACACTCCATCCCATTCACTGCTCTGCAGCAGGGAGCGAGTGCCAGGGCTTCATCCTGCCTCCACCAGCAGAAAATGGAAGACAGGAAAATTTCTCCCATTTCACTTGACCTACTGGAAAACTCCCACACATTTCAAAGACACAGCTGGCTGTCTCAGCTCTGCTATCGCCCATCCCCAGCATCCCAGTTTCAGCAGGGAGTTCTGTTGGCTTCCAATATGACGCGGCTCCTTACAGGAACACAGTCCTCCTTTCTGCCCAGCCAGATCAAAATGTGGATCCTCCTTCAAGGGTTTTGAAATCACATTCAAGACAAACTTTAACTTTTACACAGCTGGCTCAGATCATCAAAACAGGCTCAATTAGCCATGAAAACCCACCAAGACCCCAGAGAGGAGTCCACAAAGGCTTTACTGGAACCACCTGGAAGGCTCTGCCTCACCTTCAGCAAAGCAACATCCACACGTGGTGGGTGAAGCCCAGGAATCCACAACCCCCCAAAACTCTGCCAGGTCCACAAGCTACACGAGGCACATCCCTGATAAAGGGCTGGCAGCAGGGCCCGGCCATATGTTTTAAGTTACTAAAGCACTAAACCCTGCAGAACCCCGCGAGCCATTAGGCAAATGGGCACAGTGGGCACTGTGCCTCTGCCAGGCTCTGCGTCTGCGGTGAGACAGGAGCAGCTTGAGTCTCGTTGCTTGTTTTTTTGGACTAAACTGTTTAACAAATACAAGTTTTAGTTTTATAAGCAGAAAATGACACAGCCCAAAGCATGCAGCTTCTGTTACAGAGCTGAGAAACAGCTTACTCAGACCCCCCCCCCCCCTCACAGCTGTGGTCTAATAACAGCCATTATTTCTCTACAAGCCCTATCTCACTTAAACCAGTCGAACTGCTGAACATCTGCAGAGCTTTATCAGTAGATTTTAAGGCATCCTTATACACTCTGGGCTGCAGAAGCAGGAGCAGCTTGCCCAAAGTGGCCGAAGAAACCCATAGCAGAGGCAGAAATAAAGCCCAGGTCTCCCCATTCCTTTCCACCACAGGTTGCATAACGCAGCGGTGCCCTGCCCATACCGAAACACCTTCGCCTTTCCCACCTTTACACAATTACAACATCCTTTCCCCAGCAGCGAGACAGCCCGCGCCACGCAACCGTTCCCTTCGGAACTCAGCACACAAAGCAGCCCAGGCCTAGGATTTTGGGGGGGGGGCACCCACCCCAACAGCCTCCAGCACTGGCCAGGCCAAGGATGCTCGGGCACAGCTATTTTGGGAGAAAGCCACCCCTCTCTAGCCCACCCCAGGGAGGCCGGAGCCGGGCAAAGCCAAGCTGGTGGGGCGGCTCAAACCCGGGGTGCTCGGTCCCTGGGGGGCTCTGGGGGGGGTGTCTGCCTGCCCTGCCCGCCCCTCGCCCACCCCCTGCCCGTACCTGGTGGTGCGTCTCCTGCTCCACGTTGAGCCCGTTCACCTCGACCACCCGGTCCCCGGCGCGCAGCCCCGCCGCCTCGGCCGGCGAACCGGGTTCCACTTTCCGGATGAACTGCCCGCTCTTGCCCTTCTCGCCGTGCAGGTGGAAGCCGTAGCCGCTCTCCCCTTTCAACATGCGGCACAGCCGCGGCTTCAGCTGGTCCTTGGCCATGGCCGAGCGCAGCGGAACGGAGGCGGCTGGCGGGCGAGTGGGGGCGGCCGCGGGGCCCCTTTTATGCGCGGCCCGGGA